AGACCCCCGAGCCATCTCCCCAGCCCTGGCTTTAGTATTTGTTGGCAGGGTTTTGCCAGCCAGGCCGGCCCCGCCCTCCTCATGCTGCCATACCCGGCTCTTGCTACCGCAGCCGCCTGCAGCACACTGATTCACAGGGTCTAAGTGCCGGCTACCGTGAGCCATCGGCGTCACTGAAACGTTCCGGGCCAAGAGCACAGCCCAGCAGCACAGCGTCTGCCTGGCCAGCCCAAGGTCATGACTTTGCTTCCTGGAACCAAAAAAACCCCAAAGGGCCCCAGTGTCCAACAGGTGGAATTAATGTTCCTGTGAGATTTTACCCAGTCTGATCAAAATGTCATCTCAGTGATGTCACCCATTCGGAGAAGGATGAGCTGCGTGTGCCGGTGCCTGCCCATCGCCCTGGCACCCTGGGGGCTGCGGCAGGAGGATCTTTGGTTAACCCCTGGCCTGGGCAGCTTAATGTACAGGCCCTGGGCTCCATCCCCAGCTGCAGGTTGGGGGGACCCAAGTACCCGAGACATACCCAGCCTCAGGCGCATTATGGGAAAAGTGAGATTCCTCAGGGAAGGGCCTCAGGGACACCCGCCTCCCCACTCCTCAGAGGCCACCATGCCCACAGCCACACAGCGAGCACCCCATGTTAGCAAGGGGTTCAGATAGCAGTCCACAGAGGCACACAACAGAGGCAGCACGGGCTAACGGGGGAAGCTGACCTCCCCCTAGCCACCCGTGATGACCCCACCCAAGTCCCCACACCCCAGGCAGGGGATGCTGGCTGGGCCTCCTGGCTCTATTGCACACAGTTGGCAAATCTGGGCCGACTGTTGGCTCAGCCTTGTCCCCAGGGGTGCAGCCATGAGGCACCCTCCCAGGGCCCCAGCTCCCAGGTGACAGTGGTGCTTAAGTACACAGGGAAACCCACCCGTGCAGGTACACCCACGGCACCACCACGAGCCGGGTCTCTCCTCTGAAAGAGGGGGTATCAGGGCTGTGACGACCCTGGTTCTGCTAGTGCTGGTCTGCTTTAAACCACTCCACCTTGGGCTGGCCAGATAGCTCAGCGGACTAGGTGCCTGTTTAGGCAAGCGCAGGGACAGGGGTTCAATCCTCAGCATCACAGCCTGCACTTGGCCCCAGGGCATGCTGAGCCAACGACTAAGACAGGACATGATGGCACATGCCTGTGCTCCCAGCACTGGGGAGACTGAGACAGGAGGATCACTGAGTCTGAGCTGCATAGTGAGACCCTGTACCAAATATAGAAACCACCCCACCTGCTGGGCATGGCGGTGCACACCTAGTCCCAGCTCTTGGGAGGCTGAGGCAGGAGGATCATAGGCAGGCCAGGCCAGCCTGGGCTACACAGCCAGACCCTGTCTCAAAACAAACCAAATATAAATAAGCCACCCTGGGGCTGGTGAGATGGCTCAGTGGTCTAAAGCACCTACTTAGAACAAGCTTAGCAAAGCACAGGGACCGCGGTTCAATCCCCCAGCACCACATGCCAGCCAGCCCTACCCCCTGGTGAGCTGAGCTGGCCACACACACACACACACACACACAAATAAATAAATAAATAAATAAGCCACCCTGCCTGCTGGCTTCAGACAGACATGCACCTTCTGCAGCCTCAGAGGCTGGGGTCTAAAGTCAGGGCTGAGACAACTGGGGGGGACCTTCAGAGTCCCAAGCCCAGCGGCCCCAGGGGTCTACAGCTGGCGGCTGCCATGCCCCATTCCCGCCTGCCTACGAGCAGTGGCTCCCTGCAGTGAGTCTCTGTCCCATGCCCAAATCTCCCATTTCTTTTGTTTTTGTTTTGAGACAGGGTCTCCCTATGTTCCCCAGGCAGCCTTGAACGCATGTCAGTCCTCCTGCCTCAGCCTCCAGAAGACTAGAATACAGGGCTGTGTCACCACACCTGGCTCAGTTGTGGGGAGGGGGGTGTTCTTTTTGTAAGATTTATGCTTTTTATGTTAATGTAATAAAAGTAGATGTTAATAAATAAAACACAAAAAGCATGCTTTTCAGTTCTATTGAAAAATGAAACAGAATTTCGTAACAGAAAAATTAGACAATAGCAATAGTTAATTCACTCTGTGCGATGGTCTTCAAAGAATGGCCAAAATGTTAGCGTCCAAGTGACAGATAAGAGGCCGGGAGATGGCTCAGTAGAAATAAGTGCTTCCCTGGCAAGCACAAGGGCATGAGCTCAAACCCGGTTCCACCAAAAAAAAAAAAAAAGGACAGATAAAAGAGACTCTCTTACAAAGAAGAAACAAACAAAGGGGCCAGACTTTCTTTTTAATAACGAGAAGCTAGTAGTATAAACAAAATCAATTGACATATGGCTTGGGGGTTTGGGGACAGGGCCTCACTAAGGGTCCACACATTGGACTGGGACTTGCGATCCTGCTGCTTCTGCCTACTGAGAACAGGGACCATTAGCACTCACGCCATGCCCAGTGGTGGATGCTTCAAAGCCACTTATTAGAATAAAAAAGCCAGGCGTGGCGCGCAGGCCTGTGGTCCCAGCACTGGGAGGTAGAGGCAGGACGCTGAGGAGTGTGGGTCCGGTCTGGGGAACCTAGTGCTTGGTAAGAGTGTGTTCTAAAGACTAAAGAACAAGAGGCCGGGGAGATGGCTCAGTAGAATAAGTGCTTCCCTGGCAAGCACAAGGGCCTGAGTTCAATCCCCGGTCCTGCAAAAAAAAAAAAAAGACTAAAGAACGGGCCAGAGACGCAGCTCTGTGTGGAGGCCACGGGCTCAATGCCCTGCGTTGAAGCAAACAGAAAAGCTCATTGCATCCCCAGATCCGAGCCTGCACCGCGCCACCGCCCAGTGCTCTGGGAGGAGACACACCACACACAGTCCCACACCAGCGTCCGCACCTACCGTCAAGGCCAAGGACCTCCAAGAGCTCCGTCCACACCTTCCACACGGCCTCCAGGAACAGGTCCACACCCAGCACGAACCTCTCGGTCAGCCTGGTCAGGAACTGCACAGGGAGAAGACAGTCACTGCAGGGCCCCCAGCCACCGTGCCCAGCCCAGCCCCCAACCTACTCCATGGAAGAAAAGCTGCAGTCATCCCGGGGTACCACAGGAGGGGTCCAGCGCCCCGGGGAGGAAGGTGAGCCTGCCGAGCCCCGCAGAACGGCAACGCCCAGCCCCTTGGCCCTTGCACAGGCGGGTCGCAGCTCTGGGGAGATGTAACCTGCAAAGTGACGCATAGCGCTTGCCATCTGGGTTGCTGCTGCTCAGGGTGTCTGCTTTCCTCTGCCTGGCTTATTTTGTTAAAAAATGTATGGGGCTTGTGAGATAGCTCAGTGGACTAAGTGCCTGCTTAGGCAAGTGCAGGAACCGGGATTCGATGCACCACATGCTGGGCCCAGGCGTGCGAAGCCAGCCACGGAGACTGGGCGTGGTGGTGCACACCTGTAATCCCAGCACTGGGGAGGCTGCAAACAGGAGGATCACTACCAGTCCGAGCTGCACAGTGAGACCCTGTACCAGATAATTAAATATATTTATTTAATGCAGGGTCTTGCCATACAGTTCACTCATAGTGATCCTCTGTTCCAGCCTCCCTTAGTGCTGGGATCACAGGCATGTGACACCATGCCGTTTCAGGGCCAGCACAACATGTGAAACCAGGGATCAAACTCAGGTCCTTGAACTTGCCAGGCAGGTGCTTAGACCACTAACTCCCCAGCCCAAGCCTATTTTATTTTTACTTCTATGTATTTGGTACAGGGTCTCACCACACAACTTGGACTCCGAACTTGAACTCAGAGTGATCCTCGTTTTCAGCCTCCCCAGCGCTGGGATGACAGGTGTGCGCCACCACGCCATGGTCCCAGTCCCTGAGCTTACCTAAGCAGGTGCTTAGTCCACTGAGCTATCTCACCAGCCCCAGGCTTCTCATTTTTAAAGAATGAGAGTTTCTTCCCCAACCTGCTGCCCCTAGAGATTGGTTCTCCCCCTGCTCCCCTGTCCCCTCTTCTCTCCATCATGTCCCACCCCTCGGAGGCATCTGAGATCTGAAGAGGGGTTCTTCCAGCTCCACGGCAGCTGATCCCCAGGAGACGGGTAATGACAGCCTCACACCGGGCCTCCAAGGGCTTCACTGGGCATAAGCATGACAGGTATGCACCACCTGGTCTGCCATGTCATGCTTGAACACGCGTGGGCCTCGTACATGCTTGCACAAATGGGCAGTGAGGGGCCCAAGGGGCCAGAGGCAGCTAACTCAGCGCCGTCCCTGTGCAGCCGCTCACGCTGCTGGAAACAAGGCCAAGAGCGAGCCCGATGCCAGGACCAGAAGAGGCCGCGGCTTGGCCCAGAACACAGCAAGTGCCTGCCGCCCTGCCGCGGTGCACTTGTTTTTAGTTTTAGCACTGGGAGTTGAACCCAGGGTCATCTCAGCAAGCTGCGCCTTCTGCACTTATTTTCTGAGGCAAAGTCTCACTAAATCACGAAGTTGCAGGCATGTGGGATGGGGCATGGTCTATAACACCAGCACTCTGGAGGCTGAGGCAGGAGGATCATTGTAATTTCGAGACCGGGCTGGGCTGCAAAGCGAGCTCAAGGCCACACTGATGTGCACAGCGAGACCCTGTCTCAAAGAGAAAAATAAAAACACTAAGCTGCGCCAGATGAGCCACTCTCCTGCCTCAGCCTTCCAAGAGCTAGGATGACAGATGGGGCTGTCTTGTGCCCGTCGGAGCTGCCTGGCCCTGGGGAAGCAGAGTGCACACCAGAGCCGGGCACCTGCCACGCTGGGTGGGGAGCTCAGGCCTGGGGTTCCTTCACAAGGCGGGGATCCTCTCTCCCTGAAGCTGACCCAGGGTGGCTGTCCCCTGCCCTCCCAGCTGTCCACTGGGAAAGTCGCTGCCCCTTTGGACACTGTGCTAGGCAGCACACCAGGCCTTGAGCAGTCAGGACAAAGACTCAGGCGCCCCACAGGGAACAAGGTGGGCTTGATGTGAAACACGGACCCTGCACCATGGACAGGACGCCCTGAGGCAGGTTTGGGGGGTGACTGCTAGCACGAGGCCAGCGGGGTGGCTGTGGCTACTAGGACTGGTGTTCTTCTAAGAGACAGGCATGCCCCTATGATCCCAGCATTCGGAAGGCTGAGGCAGGAGGGCAGCTGCGAGTCCAGGGCCAGCCTAAACTATAAAATGAGACACAGCTCAAAAAGCCAGAAAACATTTCTTCCTTACAATTTTTCTGTAAACCTAAAACTGTTCCAGAACACAAAGTTTAGCCAGACTTTGCGGCACATGCCTATAATCTCTGCATTTGGAAGGCAGTGGTAGGAAAACCAGGCCTGCCTAACGTGGACCATGAAGTTGTCCCACAAAAACAAAAACACAAGAGTTTGTTTTGAAAAACTGAGTCCTAGACCAGCGAGACAGCTCAGCAGACTAGGCGTGCCTGCACAGGCAAGCGCAGGGGTCAGGGTTCGGTCCCTAGCACCACAGGCCACACTGGCCCAGCCCCGGACGCGCTGAGCCAGCCACAGGGGCCCAACTCACAGCTGGGGAGGCTGCAAACAGGAGGCTCGCCGAGTCCGAGCTGCGCGGTGAGACCCTGCACCAAATACATAATAAAATAAAAAATTAAACACTGACTGCTAGGCTGGCACGAGACTGAGGCAGAAGTATCAGGTGACCCAGAAGCTTGAGGACAGCCTGAACAACACAGCAAGACCCAGTCTAGAAGAATAAAACAATAAAAAATGAAAGTTTCAGCGGACTAAAGCACCTGCGGAGGCAGGCGCAAGGCCCAGCGTGCCATGCAAGCCCCGCCCCCGGGGCACACTGGGACTGGGACTGAGCTGACCGAGACTGGCTGTGGTGGCACACGCCTGTAATCCCAGCACTTGGGAGACCCTGGAGACCCTGTGCTAAAGACATTTAAAAATAAAAGGTTAAGCAACATAGCAATTAAATGTAATGCGTTCATCAGAAAGTGGACGTGGGCTAGGCAGTGAGGAATTGTTATAAGCTGCACAAGTATAAATCTTTCCTTTTTTTTTGAGACAGGGTCTCGCTATGTAATCAGACTGGCCTCAAGAGCTTGTGGCAATCCTCCTGCCTCAGCCTTCCCGAGTGCTGGGATTACAGGTGTGGGACACCACAGCCAGCTCTATTAGTGGGTATTAGCTTTATTTATTTATTTATTTATTTATTTATTTATTTATTTTTGCGGAACCAGGGATTGAACATAGGCCCTTGCGCTTGCCAGGGAAGCGCTTATTCCACTGAGCCATCTCCCCGGCCCGCTTTATTTTTTTAATTTTTTTACTGTTATGTCAAGGGGCCGGGGAGATGGCTCAGTAGGATAAGCGCTTGACTGACTGTTATGTCTTTATTTTTTATTTATTTTTTTTATTTATTTGAGAGAGAGAGAGAGAGAGAGAGAGAGGTGTGTATGTGTGGCCAGCTCAGCCCACCAGGGGGCAGGGCTGGCTGGCATGTGGTGCTGGGGGATTGAACCGCGGTCCCTGATGCTTTGCCAAGCTTGTTCTAAGTAGGTGCTTTAGACCACTGAGCCATCTCTCCAGCCCCTGTTATGTCTTTAGTACAGGGTCTACAGGGTCTCACTACACAGATCAGACTTGTAGGGATCCTCCTGTTTTCAGCCTCCCAAGTTCTGGGATTACAGGCTTGCACCACCACGCCCAGTTTCAATCGCCATCTCAGCACTCCCCGGGGGTTGGTCTGGCACAGCAAGCCGAGGATCGAAGCCCCTGTCCCTGCCTGCCTAAGCAGGAGCTTTAATCCACTGAGCTATCTGGCTGGCTCTCTTAGCTTTAAAACACTATTGCAAGCCAGAAAAAAGCATGGGCCAGGATGTAGTTCAGGAGCAGGGCCCTGAGGTGGCACACAAGGTTCTGGATTTGATCCCCAGCACTCCAAAAAGTAATTTAAAGAATTGACCATGGAGGGAAAAGACGCTCGGAGACATACACATCACAGCAGTAGGGCCAGGGCCAGGGCGGGCAGGGCCAGGACGCACCCCTCGGTGCCAGGCTTGGCCTCAGTGAGGGCCAAGCAAGCACACGCGGCTCTGTGCCTGCGGGGCTGGAGCAGAACCAGACCTCCTGGAGCCACCCCCTGGAAGGCACCTCCAGACTAACTGGAAAGCGCAGACAGTGTGGCTTCAGGTTTCAAAAGGCGACCTGACCTGTCTGTCCCAGCCAGTGACTGTGCCATCCCCTCAGAGGGCAAGGCGAGCAGGTAGAGCCTGGCAGGGTGGTGTGCAGGAGGCTGAGGCAGGGGGTGGCTGTGAGTTTGAGGCCTGTCTGACCTGCTCAGGGAGAGCGGGTCTCACCAGAACCACCACGGACATGAACGAGCCTCAACATCACACCACATGACGGTAGCCGCCAAGGAGCAGGTTACGCGACCCCACGCATGCAAGCTGTGCCTACAGGAAATCTAGACCGGCAGCGGATGGGGGCTGCCTGAGGCGGGAATGGGGCGAAGGGGAAGCAGGAATGAATGGTCATGGTAGCAGGGTTTCTGCATGGGGTGACAAAGATGTTCTAAAGTTGACTGGTAATGGTCGGATAGACTTGGGACTCCATGAAAAGCCACTGAGTTTGCAATGAATCAGGTGTGTGGCACCTGACAATTACACTTCCGTAAAGCTGCTACCCTACCCTCACCTGGTGAACACCTGGTGTGTGCTCCACAGAACACCCATGTCCCAAAGGAGGGTTCCGGCAGCCTCAAGAGACATGCAAACCAATGCAACCCCAGCTCTTCAGGAGGCTGAGGCAGGAGAATCACAAGTTCCAAGCCAATATGGGCAGCTTAGTGACTCTCTGTCTCAAAATAAAATACAGGAAAGGCTGGGGCCGCAGCCAGACATAGTAGCACAGGTTTGTAAGACTCTGTCTCAAAATTAAAAAATAAAAAAGGCTGAGAGGCAGCTTAGTGTGAGGGTGCAGGTTCATTTCCCAGCACCATGAAAAAAGAAAAACTGAAAACAAAAGCCACCAGCAATCCTTGGTCAGAGGTTAGATTTTTTTTAAGTAGCAGGAGAAATCCAAATATGGACTACATATTAGAAATTATTGCCAGGAGTGGTGGTACACACCTGTGGTCACAGCGGGAGGCTGAGGCAGAAGGGTCACCATGAGTGTGAGGCCAGCGTGGGCTACATAGCAAGGCCCTGTCTCAAAACACAGGACAAAAAGTGAATTTTTTTTTTTTTT